CTCTGGTATCGAGTGACTCGAGTTGTGTCGGTCATGTGTGCAGCCCGCCCATCAACAAACAGCAACAGCAGTATTCTGACAAATTGGCAAAACAACCTCCATGTGGTACAAGTGTACTCTGTACAATATCTCATTTTGTATCATTTTGTGCTTCATCATTAAAAATAGCACCCCCCCTCCTGCACCCCCTCTGGCCAGGGCAAGGGGTGCGCACTTCCGCACGCACACACACACAGTAAATCCATCCCTGAGTATAATGCTAGTTACAGTAATCTCGGTAAACTTTAACAGACTGACGTAAGTAGAGGCCGTGCATGTGGCGTTTAGTACTGTACTTGGATGATTATTCCGGCCTCATTGCAAAAATGTGAGGCTTTTTCTATATTCCACGGAAGCAGAATTTCTATGTATTCAGGCAATCCTGGACACTCACATATCTGAGACAACTTAGTCATTTTCAAAGGATTCGTATATACTCTTCCCTAAGTTGCTTCCAACCTCGTACCCAGGACATCTGCGCTTGGGATAATCAAAACTGGAACTTGTAAAGACGTTTTAAACTGCTTCTCGTGTGGCGTTGGATTCAAAGCCAAAAATGATAAATTTGGAGATTATTATTATTATTATTATTAATTTATTTCTCCAAAATGGCTTTTCAGAAATAATTACAATCGTAAAACGAAGATTAAATACGTATTTACATGAGTTTACTAGAAGACCTATATATACTAATATATCAAAATATACATTTGTTTATGGGTATAATGAATCAATTATTGATAATATTCTAAAATATAAAATTATTTTGAGTTGTTCCAGCACTCTTTATGCAGTATCTCTCTTACTACTGTAGTTTTTTAAAAACTGCAATACTTGAACTATCTTTAATGTTATTGTCTAAATCATTCCATAATTTGGTTGCTCTATATATATAAAAAGAGCGCTGACCAGCAACTGTCCGATAAAATGGGAGATCAATTCATCCATTTGTCTTGTCGCCCGACCATGTGTCTGGGATCTAGATGTGAATCTTCTTGCAAGGTATGGTGGTGCTAATCCTTCAAGACACTTATAAGCCATAACAGTATCTTTATATCGCAGCATATAAGAAACAGGTAGCCAGTTTAGTTGTTGTAGCACGGGTGTAATATGATCATACTTTCTCGTGCCTGTGACAATTCGTGCAGCAAAATTCTGCACAGTTTGTAGTTTGGCAATATTTTTCTTAGACGTATTTGCCCACACAGATGAACAATAACAATGTTTGCTGAAGACCAAGGCGTTTATGATCGCAATCAAGGTGCGGTCTAGAATATGTTTAACTCGATTAATCTGGCAAAGAGACTTTGTACATTTTGAGACCACGTGGGTAATATGCTCATCATAGCTCAGACATTCATCAAATTCCATTCCTAAATATCCTAGGCTGAATATACCGGTCGTAGTTCCTTTTCAAGGAAAGTCACTCGAAAGTCTTGCGCATGATTGAGCATTTGTGTTGTACCAAACAGAAGAAGTTTAGTCTTTTCGGGATTGGAAAGTAGGCTATTTGAGCAACACCTGGCAGTGATTCTCCTCAGATCGTCTGTAAGCTGAATCTCAGCAACATCAATGTCTTTGTTTGAGAATGACAAGTAAATCTTAGAGTCATCTACATACGATTCTAAAGGACATACAATGGGAGTAGTTGGAAGATCGTTTGTATAAATACTAAACAACGCTGTACCAAGTACTGACCCTTGAGGCACACTGTGTGTTATCGCACGAGCTTCTGATAGTATATGACCAATCCTCACAAACTGAGTTCTGTCTTAAACCAATCTACAACTTTCCTAGACACGCCCATCGAATGCAGTTTTTTGAATAGCAACGAATGTTCAATGCTATCGAACGCTTACGGCAAGTCTAATAACACAACTGCAGTCAATTCTTTCCTGTCCATGGCATCAAGAATCATATCCGAAACAAGTATATTAAGTGTCTCTGTTGAATGCATCTTTTTATTTGCACTCTGATGTTCGGTGAGACAAATCAGCAGGGACACGGGGCGGTTATTGTTAGGCATTTCGTAATCCCCCCCCCCCCCGTTTAAAATTGGGATAGCCACCGATTTCGTCCAAGCTAATGGAAACGCCGCAGTTTAATAAGGAACTGTTTACAATCTCGGTTAGGGTTGGAAGAATTATAGATAGAGCATCCTTTATAACAGAGACAGAAACTTTGTCCACGCTTGGTGCCTTATATGATGGAAATGAATTCACGATCTTAAGTATTTCATAAGATGATACAGGGCAGAAGTTAAACTCATCAGTTTTGTTATTTAATACAAGATTGTTAGGTTGTTAGGTCATTTACATTAGGTTGTTACATTTATATGCGTAATATAAGTTCTTTGACTTTGGCTGGCAAAAAGAACATCTTATGGCGTGACAAAGACAGCAATACAAGGTCAGAGTTGCAAGAACTGCATATAAAATATTAATACTTGAGTAAACCTTGGCTATTTCAAAGACAACTAGACTGAGGTCCTCCTGGCTACCGTTTTTCTTAAGTTTGATGTTTTAAACACAATACTGCAAAATATATTAATCTTCTGTGCACAACATGCTGCATCTACTTGAGTAATGCAAAATGAACAGTGAAAATACGCTCTGCTGTTAGTTATGAAATATTGAAGACCTGGCAAGTCTCGGGAATGATGGCTGATGAAAAATCTGTTGTTTTGTATAATATACAAGATATGGGAGGTAAAACGTCAAAGGGACAAAGTTCTGGCGATAAAGAAGGGAAAACGAATGAAGCTCTGCAAGATCTTACAAAAAATAAAAAATGGGTCCAACAAATGAAAGAGTATTTTGACGCCGTCGACTTAAACAAGAATGGGTATACCTCACAGTTGAGGAGATTTTACAATGGTCAGACAACATGAAAGAATTATGTAGTCAGATTACCCAAGAAGAATGTGAAAACTTGAAGAAGTGTTTGAAGATTTTTATGGAGCGGCTGGTCTCCTGCCTGGAAAACAAGTCACGAAAGAAGAATTTCTCGAGGGCGTGAGTCATCTTAGCGTAGCCGAGCTTGAGAAGAAGAAGCTTGGTGAGGAGACTTTGATGGAAAGTCTTTGTAATGCCTTTTATAAAGCGATGGATCGTAATGATGATGGTAAAATCACAGTGAATGAAGTTAAAACTATCATGAAAGCTTGTAATATGACGGAAGAGAAAGCTGAGAAATGGTTTAATTTAGCAGATAAAAATAAAAATGGCGTTGTTGAGACTCATGAGTTGACTAATGCTGAGTTTGAGTCTTGGTTCTGTCCCGAACCAGAGGAAGATAACACTGAATAGGAAGTTGTAGTAAAACTATGTTTTGTTAGCTAAATTATGGTAAATCAATTAAACAATGGTGCAAAAACATTTAAAACATGTATAGAAGAAACAGTATAGGGTATATACAGTAGTATGGTTTAAAACGATGGTTTCTAGTGAACATTCATTTATTGCAAAATGGACATTCATTCAGTTATTACGAGGTAGATCTGTCTTACCGTTTGTATTTTAGTCTTGAATAGAATAAAAATCATGAATAAATATGTTCAAATCAGTAAAGAATTCTTTATCCGTGTCACGCTTAACATGGCATTTTCAAACGTTCCTGTTTCAATAATTTAATTAATATATGATAATATATACGTACTTGAATGTGACAGCAAATGAGTTTGGAAGTGTGATCAATACATATAGCTATACATGTAGATATGCTTGGGAGAGAAATATCAATTGCTCTTCCAAGCTAGAGGACAGCTAAATTTTTGAGTTCCATTAAGGTCATGTTACACAAGGCAACTTTCGCTGTAATTTTTCTGTGACTACTATAATTAATTTAGATTACATTGCTCTGTTTCCGAAATTGCGTGATAAAATGTAGCAACAATTGCCCCGTGCAACAATACCTCTGTCCAAAATAAGTATTATTGCACGCGGTGGGTCCATGCAAACCTAACGCATTACTATTTTCGATGAGTATATATTATTTTCCTTTAAATATTAATAAATATTATGTTTTTTCATCTTTCCTATTCGCCGCCAGTCTTGGCTTTCTTGTCGGTTCTTATATGTACAATAATTAAGCAATTATTGGATTTGACGTACGCATGATACAAAAATTGGTAAGAACTCAATTAGTAAGACCTCATTTTGCTTCGGCAGATGACATTGACTTCCGTCTAAATAATTCTTGATATCCTTCATGCTCAGCATCATCCACTAATAATTGTTTAATGTTTCACAAACAATATCATTTTATGAAATTATTGGTAAGATTGATGTATTTGGTAATGGCTTTTTCAAATATTGATCTGTACCATAATTAGAAGCGGAAGACTAGAATAAATTGTGTGGGTTTGAAATTCTCGTGGGAAGGTCACAGATTTTCTTGATAGAGGGTGGTATGCCAGATTTTATAAACAGAATTGCACCATTTCCATAAGTGAAGTGAGTGATTAGTAACTAGAAGTGAGGTTTACATGCCTTTGCTAGTGCCAAAATTAGTACTGAGACAGAACCAGTTCTGAGAGAACTTTAAGAGCTGATGATTTATTCTTCGTTGTTTTGGACGTGTTTTGAAAACTGCATTTTAGCTATAAAATATTTTGAATTTCCATCACCGGTTCAGTTGCTACTCCGTTAAAGGCAGGGCCATCCTCACGGAATTCTTGAGGGGGGGGGGGGTGAGGTCATTTCAACCGACTGAAAATTTTTTCCGAGAAAAATTTTTTTCGGAGACCAACAACCTCAATTTTTCATGCCAAAATTCGGAAATTTACCCAAAACCCCCCAAATATCTTGCTTTTTGCGCGGAAATATTTAACCCAAATAGCAGTCCTACCGACTGAATAGCAGTCCTGCCGACTGAATAAAATTTTTGGGAGGGGTGTCACACCCCCCACACTCCCCCGTATCTCCGGTCCTGGTTAAAGGGAATATTTGTTAATTTCTTTGTTTATTTTCTTGCCTAATTCATGCCAAATATTCGCCAATATATCTAGCTGGCATCTCATGGATAATTAAAAGTATGAAATTAGATTTTATCAATTTCTCATTGATATGCACTCATAAAATGTCTATTTTTTCTTTATTTCAGGATTCAACGCAAGTTAGATCTTCGACTTATTGGTAGAACCAATCTGAACAACCCAGTTTATTTTCTATACGCTGCAGGACCAATGAGTAATAAGATATTTTGATATTTCAGCATATGTTTATTATGATTTTCAGTATCGATCGCCAAAACGTTTTGACTTGGTGAAAGGACAAAATTCTTCAATGGAAATGCATCGCCTTTTATTTTAATCAATCGAGATAAGCACAGGCGTACGGGAGGGGAAAAAAAGGGGCAGAAAGAAATTCGTTAAACTTGTTTTCATTTTGCCCGACCAATCAAAAACATTTCCCAGCTAAACTTCGAAAGACGGGGAAATTTTTGTAGACAGGTGCGGGGGAAGAATTTTGGGCCAAATTACATTTTCGACTATTGTCTTGCCTTTTTGACCATTATCTTACAGTATACATATTTCTTGCTTTTCAATTTATTAGAGGGGAGGGGCGGGGGTAATACAGTACTTAGTCTTGTGGTAGTATATATTTCTTCCTTTCGTTTAAAGATCTTATTTTGATATTTTCTAGAGGACGCTGGCGACAAGATAGGTTTTCATAAATTAAAAGAAACATCTCCAAGTTTCCTTAATGTCTCCACTATATCTGATAACACTGATAACAGCAAGGCCAAGAAGGTAAAAGTTAATAAATTACTGGAGTCACTCAGAACACTTTAGTCGAAATGTTTGTTGCTTTCGGAATTACTATTGTTAAGGCGGCTCTCTACCTTTCTAAAAATGTGGAAAAGGCATAAATTAGATTAACTCTATGAAGAGATATTGCAGCTTGCTAGAAATAAAAAAATTGTACACCATATATATATAGAGCAACAATGAAACAGTTGGAAATTGGTCACAAAAATTACGGTTGCTAGCGCTGTGGAAACATTCAATATGTCAGGTACGATAGACTATCTGACCTAGTTTAAATAATTCTGCACAGCCAAATTTTGAAAAAAAATATAATCATGCATGGTTTTTAGGCCGTTTGCTGCGTCCCGTTATTGTTCACTGTTTAGTAGACGATAGCTCCACTCGGTATAATAATAAAGAATTTAATAACAAACTATAAACCAGAAAATAACACCCAAAATAACACTTTCGTTCTTCGATCTAAAACCTTTTACGATAAGTTTTCGAACCCCGAACACGCTCTCGTCCCAGTACTTTTGCTCGTCCAAAACACTAATTATTTTAATTATGAATGTTAAATGTAAAACAATATATAGTAAAAGTTGTCCACTCTCCTTAACATTCCCCCTCCCCGCACTGGGAACATCAAGTTCAAGTGCGAATAGAAATATATATCAACTGACAAACGTTTCAACAATTTAAGGGAACCAACTTGTGTATTGGTCGCATCAGACTTTTGTCCCCAATTTGTACTTGAGCAACTCTGTTGTGTCCATCCTTGCCTGGAAAGGTATTAAGAATTCTCTCCAACGGCCACTGTCCTCGCGGAAGATTTGGCTGCACAATTAACACAACGTCATCGATTTGCAAATCCTTGACTACTTGTGTCCATTTAGGACGGATAGTAAGCATCGGTAAATACTCCTTCAACCAGCGTCGCCATACCAACGATATTAGATGGTGCACTTTCCTCCACCGTTGCTGTGGATGAAACCCAGTCGTTTCTTCAGCTTCAGGGGCAAACTGACCACCCATCTGGCCATAAAGGAAATGATTTGGAGTCAGCGGGATTAAGTCACGAACATCGGCAGACTGATACGTTAACGGTCTGGAATTTATAAGACTCTCAGCTCCGGTAAAGATGGTGATCAATTCCTCATCATTGACATCACTGTTGCTTAGTACTGCGTATATCGCTTTCTTTGCAGCCTTTACCATTATTTCGTGAGCTCCCCCGAAGTGTGGGGCGGCAGGCGGGTTGAGCAACCATCGAACTCTCTTATCTGAAGTTTTCCGTTTGATTTTCTCTTCGTCTAACTGACCAGCAAGCTCCTTCAGTTCGTTTACCGCACCAACGAAGTTAGTACCATTGTCACTTACAACCTCCTTGGGTACTCCTCTCCTGCTGGTAAATCGAGCGAATGCATTAAGGAATGCATCTGTGTCCAACGACCATGCCATCTCCAGGTGTACAGCTCTGACTGATAGACATGTGAACACGCATAGATACCGCTTCTGTCTCTTTCGACCACGACCCTGAATGGTGATAAACGGACCACCAAAATCTACTGCACATTGATCAAACGCCCGATAGGTGAATCGCAATCTCACACCTGGAAGCGGGGCCATCACTTGGCTGGCTGGCTTATTCCGTCTTCTTCTGCAACCGTAGCACTGGTTTTCCCAATCTCGAATTTCCTCACGTGCCGCAATGATCCAAAATCTTTCACTCAGTTGACTGAGAATGAAATTTACTCCAGCTGCATGGTTCGCTTTCTCGTGGTAATGTTTTACTATCAATCTCGTAACCCAATGTCCTCGTGGCAGGATAATTGGACTTCGCACGTCATACGGTAGTTGCTCTGCGAAACTGAGACGCCCTTGTGATCGGATAACTTCATCTGCATCAATTATGGGATTCAATTTAACAAGCTGACTCTTCGCAGAAACAGGTCTTCCTTTCTTGATTTCACTGTACTCGGCACCAAAAACTTCACTCTGAGCGGCACGAATGACTTCCATTTCAGCTTCCCTGAGTTCTTCTGAAGTCAGTTCCTTTTCAGTTCGTCTTTGGCCCTTATGACGCATGTTGAACAGCGCTCTTCGAACTCTGGCTTGTAACCTTGTCAACCGCGACCAATCGGAAAAGCGTCTCGGATCCAATCTCCATTCGTTCTGCTCCTGTTCGGAATCCAACTTCTTTTCTGCACATGTTGCTAATGTGATGTTGCTGACGCTTTTGGCATGAGTCGATCTGATCTCTTGTGGGTTCTCGGGACGGTTTTCTGTCTTCATCTTTGGTCACGACCTTTCGTCAGCCAATCTGGACCTTCCCACCAAAACGAACTCTCAGCAAGCTGCGTTGGACTTGCGCCTGTCGTACATAAGTCGGCTGGATTCTGATCTGTACGTACATGCTGCCACTGGGCTGGATCCGAACCACTCTGAATTTCACCAATCCTGTTCGCCACAAAGGCTCGGAAATCTTTGCCTCTTCCACAAATCCACCACAGTACATCCATGCTATCTGAATAAAACGACACATCTCGCATTGGAATGCCCGAGACTTGGACGATTGATTGAGTTAACCGCAATCCCATGATAGCTGCCATCAGCTCCAATCTTGGAACAGTTGTTGGGATAAGAGGTGCCACCTTAGACTTTGAAGCTACCAGGCGACAGGTAACTGCTCCGTTCTCATACTCATGTCGGATATACACCACAGCACCATAGGCATCTTTCGAGGCGTCTGCGAATGTAATAATTTCCTTCGAACGAACTGGCTCTGCAGCACGAAGACATCTCGGTACTGTCACCGTGTTCAGCATAGGCAACTGATGAAACCACTGTTCCAATCTCAAAGCAATTTCATCTTTAATCTCGTCGTCCCATCCATAACCTCTAGACCACAGTTCGTGCAGTAGTATCTTGGCAATGACGATAAATGGGCCAATGAATCCAAGTGGATCAAATATCGTTGCGATCTTCTTCAATACGTTTCTCTTGGTTATCTGTAATCGTGGCATTTCTGATGTCGGAATCTTGAATTCATCTTTCTGACTGTTCCAAGCAAGTCCGAGTGTTTTCGTTGTGGGGTTTTCACCGTCGTTTATGGTGATATCCGAGGCTCGATCTTTTTCTGGAATCACTTCTAATACCTTAGGCAAGTTGGATACCCACTTTCTGGCTTCCATACTTGCTTTTGCCCAAAGTTCTTTCAGCTCGTGATACAACTTCACACCCTCTTCTTCACTTTCTACACTGTCAATAGAGTCATCCAGGTAGATGGATTTCAATACTGTCTCTGCGGCTAATGAGTAAAGATCCCGATACTTTCGAGCGTTCTCCTGGGCGACAAACTGTGCCTCCATGGGCGCGGAATTCTTACCAAAAACAACTCTTCTGAACTCGTATTCCTCCGGTTCACGTCCAGGATCAAGATCTCTCCATTCTGAAATATGGGCGATCTTCCATAGGAATTTCTATCTGAAGATACATTTCTTTAATGTCACAAGCAACAGCTACAGGGTTACGACGGAATCTCATCAGGACATTGAACAGATCTTGCTGCAGTTTTGGGCCAGCATGGATAACATCGTTCGGAGAAATCCCATCATGTTTAGCTGAGCAATCAAAAACTATGCGAACTTTGGTTGTAGACTTATCCATTCTAACAATGGGAAAATGAGGCAGGTACCAAGCTCCAGGCAGTTCTTTGGCTGGATCAATCTTTCGGAGGTAGCCTTTCTTCAAGTATGCTTCGATAGTGCTTTGGTACTCTTCACCAACGGTCGGATTCTTCATTAGATTTTTCTCAGTAGAACGCAGGCGTGTGATAGCCATAGTCCGATTGTTTGGCAACTGTAGTTGTGCTTTCTTCCACGGTGTTCCGACTTGATATCTTCCATCAACAATCCGCAACGACTCTCCAACTTTAGTAAGGGCTGACTTTTCTTCTTGTGTTAGTATCTTTGTATTCACCTCGGTTCCTCCACGTTCAATCTCCCAAAAATTTCTTAATGTTTCGTCCAGGTTACAGCAGTCGGGATTGGCGAAGATTGTTGCCCGTTTCGTGCAAAGTGTTCTCATCACATGCGATCTCACGATTGATTTTCCATTCTTCTCTGGGGGTCCTATACAGGTCCATCCGAGTGGTCCCCGTCGTGCCACTGGCTCGCCTTGCGATCCTTGAAAATCAACTACGGAAAAGTGTAATTCTGGATTATCCACTCCAATCAACAGGTCAACGAATGTCTTTTTCGCTGGCGTTGGGAAGTTGCACGGACGTAAGTGTGGCCAATCCTTCTGGTATTGGTTCCAATCTACTACACGGTAGTTCCCAGTAACTTCATGTGGGCAAGTTATAAACATTAATTTCTTTCGAAAACTGACGATCTGTACTCTCAATCTCGACTTGCAAAGGTATGGATTTAAAGGTCTCCACTGCATCATTCAACACATGGACTTGCACATCTTGCCATTTACCACTTAACCCAAGAAATCCGGCAACTTCTTCGTTTAGGAAGGTTTCGTTCGAAGCATCATCAAGTACTGCGTTTACCTTAATTCTCTTTCCATTTGCTTTTATCCACACAGGGATTGTTCTCAGAGAATGTATCTGTACTTTATGGTTAGATTCACCAGTTGTCGTGGTAACCACTCTCGCTTCATCCATTACCCCCTCCCGTGGGGATTTGAACTCGACCTTCTCCTCTGGAAGGTCTGGTTTGTTGCTTTTGTGTTCTGGGTCTTGAAGCAATCGATGATGTGTAAGTTGACACCCACCTATGTTGCACTGGCGTGACCTTCGACAATCTTTACCATGGTGGTCAGTGGCAAGGCACCGAAAACATAACTGTTTCTCTTTAGCAGCTTTCCACCGGTCTAAGACTGGTCTTTGTTGAAACTGGTGGCAACTCCAGATGCCATGCCCAGTACGACCACAAAATTCACAAGGCGGCTTTGCATCCACTGCGTTTCCCGACATATTTGGTTGGTATGACTCATAGCTTCCCTGCTTTCCAGTACGGTATGACCGAAATCTAGGCTTTTCACCCTTGTTCTGGTATCCCTTTGACTCAGCATATTTCTGCTCCAGACCATACGCCATTTCTGCAGCTTCCACATTAATAGTCACCTCTTCCTTCAACCAGTCACACAAACATATAGCAGACTGTTCCTTGCTGTGAGTGCCTAACCATCGACTATAACTTTCCAACTGTCGATCCGATAATTTCTTCACAAGCTGTCGATGCAAAGTTCCTTCTCCTAGCTCTGATTCTCGATTCTCAGCTTTCAATTTCGCAACTGTTACCCTAACTAGGTCAGCAAACTTTTCAAAGGCATTAACATCATTGTTACGCATAGTCGGCATATTCTCCAGTTCATCCATGTAACCTCTCAATTGTCGTCGCTGCCCACCAAATTTCGACCGAATAATTTCTTTCGCTTCATCATACTCGAGTGCTGATACTCCTAAACCACGAATCGCTTCCAAAGCTCGACCAGACAAACTCTGTCGCAATCTTGCCATCTTTAGATGCACTGGCTCGTTCGATTTGTCGACTAAACTTTCAAATAGGCTCCAAAATTCTTCAAACTTTGCTTTATTTCCATTGTAATCAGGTACTCTTAGTGGTTTTAAATGGTGGTTTAGAACTGAACCTCCCGTGTACGATGGTGTATGTGTTGGACTTGATGAACTTGATTGATTCTGCTCCATTGTTTGCTGTATCATACTAGTTCCTATTGCGCCTTGATCGATTGCGCCTTGCACTGCTTGTTGCTCAGTGTTACTGGCCACAGTGGGTTGTGCCTGTCCTTCGTTCATCAAATTACTCCCAGTAGAACTGGTACCATTAGTTACCTCGTCATTATCATTGTCTTGACTGACTGTAGCGTTGCTTTCAAAACATCCTGAGATCAGAACAGCCTGTGCCTTTTCGATCGCTTGTTGACATTCCAGTTCTAGTTCGTTTGATTCCTTCATTAACGCCTTTTGATTTTCACCGTCCTTTTCCCCCCAAGTAATAAACAGACAATTCATCCATAATATTCTGTGTCTCTTCTAGTGACGACCACAAATCCTCTACCCTATGCTCAATCTCTTCTTTGTTTAACGTTGCTTTTGACACACTAAATGATTTTTCAAGTTGATGTCTTACTTTTGTTGTATCCCGTTTACTTGCACGTTTGCGACGACCTAATTCCAGGGAAATATGAAGGCTTTTCATACCCTCATCAACAGTGGATTGCTCCACACTGCTTTGAATCGGTTCTGACTCATCCCCTGACATTTTTAATAGTCACACAATTTAAAATATTAGCAAAGTTAGTATAGGTAATCATGCGATGGCGAGTACAATTCGGGATTAATAGTACGAGTGATGTTTGGAAATTTTGCCAAAATTGGACGAGCCGCCGGGGCGAGTCCAATTTGGCAAATTTCCAAACATCACGAGTTGTTTATTATTAGCATGACAAAATTGGATACGTACTTCTCAATGTCAACATCATATTCTCTTGCCAAAGCCCAGTCCTGCCAGACTTTCAACCAAAATTTGGTGCTTTTGTTTGTATTTTCATTTAGTTCTTTTGTTATAGCAAAATTTGGTGCTTTTGTTCGTATTTTCATCTAGTTCCTCCACGGCAATTTCATTTCACGCTTCATGTGTTTAAAGCATGTTTAAAGTATGTTTCCGCCATTTTGTTTGTTTTGGGAAAATCATTAATTGTACTGCAGTACAATTAATGAAATAATTGTACTCCTCTCAACCAATCAGCATTTAGTAATTTTGTCATGTTAATAATAATTTTTATAACAAACGACCAGATTATTTTATTTTCAACGATGTAGGTAGAATGTTACTCCTCTAATGTATGTCTTTCGAAAATTCCTGTTTACCAATGTTATTATGTGGAAAATTTGGCATAAATCATGCCTCAAGCATCAAACCTGAATATATTGCATAAATTAACATATATTATGCAATACGATCCCAAACGTATTTTAATACAAAGGCCTGAAAATTCACATTTTTACGACAAATATTCAAAGTTTATAGTATTCCAGTTTCTTTTACTTAGCTGCTGCCACAAATAGTCGATAATCCCAACAAAGACACGAACGTTCAAGCGATATATAGACGATAACCCGCAATAATAACACCAAAACTGTCACGACGAAATATTCGCACGCAAATTCCGACGAAGTATACACGTAAATTAGACGCCAAATCCTTTTATTCGTCCTGGCAGGATCGCCAAATGTTTAGTAGACGATAGCTCCACTCGGTATGATAATAAAGAATTTAATAACAAACTATAACCCAGAAAATAACACCCAAAATAACACTTTCGTTCTTCGATATATAAACCTTTTACGATAAGTTTTCGAACCCTGAACACGCTCTCGTCCCAGTACTTTTGCTCGTCCAAAACACTAATTATTTTAATTATGAATGTTAAATGTAAAACAATATATAGTAAAAGTTGTCCACTCTCCTTAACATTCACTTTCATTAAGCATGCATGTCTTGGGAATGAAATATTTTTATGGGAACTAACACTTTTCGAACACGCCGAGTTCAAATCCGAAAACTTCCCGCACTGTAGACCCGCAGTTTTCTCACAAACTGCTGTTTTATCTTCGCTAATTTCACAACAAATTTGTTCATTGTTCAACGACACGGATCGATGGCGACACACGATTATATCACTCAAAACGACCAATTTCTATTAACCAGCTTCCTTTTATTATGAACAAAAGACCGTTTTGCTCGAATCATTTTGAGTTATGTAATCTTATGCGTGTTGCACGTAAACAACATATCTTGTTATATAGTTAGTGTCAAAGTTCAATTTTTCTGTTTGCCGATTGGTCAAAACCGTGTCACGTGTCGGTCCACAAAACGTCATGTTCGGCAACCGGTCCGCAATGAAACATTTATTGACCGGTCACTAATAAAATGGGTGCAAAACGCATGCGCGTCAACCGCGAAGTTCCAAAGTTCATTTTTTAAACTTTTTACTAAACATTTACGGTGTTCCATTTATCCAGTTTTGGTTTCAAATTAAGTTAACTCCAATAACCGGTGAATTATTCATACTTTGACACTTATATACTATATATATATATAACAAAACACTTATTTACTGAGACCTCGGGAAAGCAGTGTGTTTTGTGGCCCCTCGACCGCCGTTGTTGCCCTCGGCTTCGCCTCGGGCAACAACGGCGGTCTCGGGTCCACAAAACACACTGTTCCCCTCGGTCTCAGTAAATAAGTGATAATTGTCTGCAACTTTGAGAAGGTACAGATAACGCCTTCTAAAATCCTCAGTTCTAACGATATCTTTGTAAAATCACAAGGAAGTTAATGCTAAGCCTTTTGGCTATGTTATTGGCCTGAAAAAGAACTATTTTAACGCGATCAAGGTATTTAAAACAAAAGTAATACGAAGCCAACATAACGGCAAAGACAACGCTAAAATGAAATATTGCCGATTGGTTGCTGGTAGAAGACTTACGACAGGATCAATCTTAAATAGAGAATAAATGTTCACATAGAATAAATGTTCACATCAAAGACAAAGATCAGTCCCAAAGTATAAAATCTGCTCTGTAAACTTACGACAAAGTGGAGAAATGTGTGCATAAGCTGTTTATTTGGTGATTTTAAAATATGGCAGCCCTCTTTCCAATAATATGCTCTTATCGCGCAGAATAACACCAACTGATATAATTTATTATAATAGTCCAAATGGAATGGTAAGTTACCTCTTGAATTACATCTCAGAAACTGTGTTGGAAATGTAAATGCTGACCCATTCCATAAGATTACCGTTTTACACCGTTGTATAAAACATTTTTGTAAAATTTATGCAGGGACCATTTTATGTAACGATATCTTTAGTTGGTTTATATCCTAGCTAACAGACAGAACTTGCTATAGTCTATATTTTGTAATAGGCAATTCCAGCTTTTAGTTTATGTGTGCAGGGGGGGGGGGGATGAGAAGTAAGGTATCATATTGCTGATCATGCTGAAAAAATAAAAATGGTGGCCGTGTAAACACGGAGTGATGGCTTATACTTGTAAATATTAAAATTTTATATTTCGGTTATTTCGGCAATTTTTCAGCATAATCAGCAATATGATACCTTACTTCCCATCACCCCCTGCGCGCATAAATTAAAAGCTGGAATTACCTATTGTGGACAGACATTTTTTAATCCATGAAACAGTACTGTGAGCTTACCGTTAATTTCAAATATTTTACTCATATACAGTGTATCCTCATTCAAACTCTTGTATACAAGAAGTTAAATATTTGTACTCACTTCATCCAATCATAATTCAGTTGTAATACCTACAGTATTAAAGCTAAAGATTCACCGTGTGGGACGTCTGAGGGGAAACTTGTATGAAATCATACATAGACATAGTGTTGCTGAAACATTGCTTCTTCGTCTTGTTACCCAAGAGCAAAGTGAGAAAACATGTCAGAAACATTTGCCTGTAGAGTACAGATTTCTGAGTAGATTGGGCTATTTGTTATTGACAGCAAACATACTAGATGTTGGCCTGGGGTCCGACTAAATACTGCCCAGAGCGCCCGGAAACGCCCAAGATAGTATTTACCAGATTCGCAGGTCAAGACATCAGTTTTAACAGTCAATGAAATAGCCTAAACATTTATAATGGTAGTAACAAGCAGAAACATACTACGAAAGTTATCGAAAGATAAACGTTGCTCCTGGGGCTGGACAGCTAGCAAACGATGATGTCGTGACCAGCGAATCCGGTACAGTGTAAACGGGGTCAGTGTAAATAGTGTATGATCCTTTCTGAGTCTTTATGAGTATGAGACATTGTATTAATGAAAAATAATATTAAAAGTGTTTTTCAACCAGCCTACATAGCAACAAGCGGTGAAGCACAGCCGCCCACGCAGGAAGCTGTGCGAAACATGAGATTATAATTACTATAAATGTAAATATTTGCTGCTATTAAACTAAAAAAACATGATTTGCATGACCATTTTGCATGTAAAAGTCAAAAACAAAAAGTTCATAAACTAAAGAGAGAAATGACTATAATTACAAAACTATTTTCTTAGAACAAAAACAAAAATATGTTTGAGATACAGAATACCAGTTTTTTTATTTCTCTATAAAATTTGAAGGAAACATGCTATATACTTTATTTTTGTGAATATATATTAGTTTTGGTCTCAATGGTCATATAAAAACGAAAAATGGATATTTTCATAAAATTCTTAACAATAATTGGAATAAACAACAAATAAAATTCCTTATTTTTGGTGCTTTTTTTCTGCTTAATGCCCGTAAAATCAGAAAGTTTGAAAATAAGTTCGCAAAACCAAAATGATTTACATTCATCAACAGTTTTTCTAAGCGATACAACATTTTTACTATTCAGGAATCTCACTGAGTAATCAAATTTACTATAAACCTAATATACTGTGGTGCATACCATCGGTATTCTGTAGTGATTTTAGTATTTACCTTACACTAAATTAAGTTAGCAATATCTGTACAGTGTTATCCATGCCTGTCAGATGTTGGCATCCTAAGTAGCGGCGCTACCTGCAAGTGCCTGAAGCTAACTGCAATCCTTGTTCAGAAGGTCTTATGCATGCTTAAGTAAAGTAGAAAATTTCAATTTTTCTGAATACATTTTGCAATATTTACCGACCAGATTTAATAAGAGTCGTACTCAAGACATAAATTTATCAAATGATGCCATCAAAAATTTTTGAGAAAATTTTCTTTGAATAGTGGTGTTGTCAGCTTACTTGATTTCCATTCATTGAATATTATTACAAATAATGGGTTTGAGCAAATTAGCGGACACTCAATAAAAACAATAACTCAAAAAACTTTCTTCGCAATTTACAAGCTTCAAGCGAAGCGGGCAAGTTTGGACCACACAGGGCTAACTGCAAATTTTTTTGGCTACCTGCAAAAAAACTAAATGTACAGGCATGGTGTTATCACACAACATGACACACCAAATCCTCGCATAATTTGATAAACCATTCCTTACTTATTGCCGCACTGGTATTCTGTGGTACATTAGGATTTTATCCTCAGAATGTCCGATTTAAAAAATAATAGAATCTGGCAAATCTAACCCCAAGACCCCACATGAAGAAAAAAATAATGAAAAACTATACTAAAAAATATTTAAACAGGCTATGTTATATGCATTTGACAAAAGATATGGAACATGTAAATTTGTGTGGTATTCTGTGGTACATACACCTGTAGATCATTTTCTTGTGCCCCATCAAGGCTTTGGAATTCCCTTTTATTTAAATTATGTCTACGTTCAACTGCTCAAGAGTTCAAAGGTGCAAATCTCGGTAATCTTCACCGCTTGTTGCTGGGCTGGTTCAAAATCACTTTTAAGATTATTTTTCATTAATATAATGACTCGTAGTCATAGATAGAAACTCGGAAAGAATCTTATACTGATTTATACTATCTTGTATATCCCCGGCGCTCTCACGCGTCCCCGGCATAGATATCTTATATACACTAGATAGCGCATCTCTTTTAGTAAAATTGAAGCCAAGAATACTCCAGCGGTTACCCCCATTTGAATATATGGCGGCCATGTTGAAGTTTCCCACTCGCTAATAAACGCTTAAAAAACAACAATAATTTTCATCATTTGAATAGTTCGAAAATGTATTTGGAATAGGTTTAACTTAATGTTTAAGTTCGCTGTGTAAGAAATAGAAAACATACGAGCCTTCTCATTTCATGGGAATATCCTGAGCCTGCAATCACGGCTTCAATTTTTGAATTGTAGAATAATTAGATGCACTATCTAGTGTATATAAGATATCTATGGTCCCCGGGCACTCTCGGGCGTTCTATATAGGCAGTATTTAGTAGGACCGATAAGTTGGATTGAAGTCACTTGTAGATGGAAAACCAATTAAGGAGAAACCCATAATAGCCGAATTTATACTAGGATTTACTGTCGCAAGGAAAGTGCTGCCTCACCTCAAGGGATCAAACCAATTCATTTTCGAAACAACGATTGCCAACCAAATAAAGCTCTTCCTCTGGTTGTTGCTTTAAACAGTCCACGTCGGCCACAGCAAAAGATATAGTAATATCTTGGAATCGTCCACGTGGACTGTACTGTGGTGGACTGTACTGATGAGGCAAATCGTTAGTATAAATACTAAAAAGAAAGGGTGATAAAATTGCACCCTATGGTGAGCCCCTCCCAGGGGTGGTACATGTTCCCTTGATCCCTTAATTTTTTTTTATTTGATCCCCTGTTCCCATTTAAAAAAGCCACTTGCTCCCTAAAATATTTTAGTTTAAGTTCCCTTGATCCCAAAAATGTTTTGTGCTGTTCCCATTATCCCAAAAATTATTAGAATTGTCCCCTGTTTGTATGGTTACTAACCTTTCTATTCATAGTAGAAAAAATCGTCTTCAAACCGCCTTTTTCTTCTCCTCGGGATTCGTGTTGACTGATCTTGAACTTCGTCGACTGAGGCTTCTGTCACTGCAGTTTGCCTCATTGTATCTGCTTCTGTGATTGTGACGACTTCATTGGTATGCTGAAGCATATCAAGTAGAAGAGTAAGATCACTATCATTAAGCTCAACAATATCTTCATGGTAGTTATAGCATGTCAAATCGCAAACGATGTTGTTCACTTCCACAAATTTCTCTTCCTCTTCCGTAAACAGCACTGGATTGAAAGGATCTTGATTGAACACTTTGGCTTTCACCCTCTTCATGCCAACACTCACATTCTCTTGCAGAAGTGCTATTACGAACAACTGATGAGTATCACTGGAATCAGTTTTGACACAGACAATCTGGCTAAATTTATATAGAGTCTCTGTTGTTTCCTTGTGCGCCGATGAAACCGCTGCTGATTCACTCAACGTGGCAAAATCTATAGGCTGTACAGTTGGAGAATCGGCTGCATACAGATTATAGGAAGCGTTCCTGGATTGTCCTTTGTAGTCATGTTTCGCACTGTTTTCTGGGGGACGCTCTGACCATACATTGCCCTCCAGTTCCTCATTTCATTCACTTGCTTCTCAGATAGCCTGTGTGCCTTTGGAGGATGTAACTTTGGTAAATCCTTGTAATTGGTTGAGGTGAAAACCTGTGGGTAGTAGGACTTTGGGGCTGTAAAGTAAGCAAATGGTGTAGAACATTGCCTTTTCAAACGTTCCTTAATGGCTCTGCTGAATCTGTGATCAAATTCAAGTTGTAATGGCATGTCGGTGGCGCCACTTCTCATTTCTGAGAATGTGTTTTCAACAACAAGCGTCAACAGACTTTTGATGCTAAATTTGGCGATAAGACTTGGATTAAAACGGTTTAATACCTTCTCAGCCAAGCCACAATTGTCATCATCAAAGGTAATTTTATAAATTCCTCCATTATCTTCGTGTGCAGATACATAGACCACATTATTCAATGACACAATCCCATAAAGAAGTGTAGAATTTAGTTGAAGAGAAGATACCAAAGTTCCCTTTAAGCTAACTAAGTTGCAATGCAGCCACACGACATATACTGCACCAGTGAATGTCGAAACATACATATTCCCATCTTGATCAAAACATAACGCCACCGGCTGCTTGATTTCTCCGTCAAAGTGAATATGCGAAGGGAGGTTTCTGCGGTGTGTCGTCTGTTGTGCTGGATTTGTTTCCGAAGCAACTTTGTTGTTTAAGGCTTCTCTAAGCTTTTCTTGAAGATATTTTTTGGGTTTTCTTTTATAATCTTCATTCCATGCACCAATGTCTTTCAACTTCTTCTTAAGTTTCTCGACAGTTAACTTGTTCACATCGACAACTGTCTCCCCTGTTAAATCTTTAAATGCAATTGTGTTCCGTTGAGATTCTACACAGTAAAGTATGTCTTTAAAAACAGCAACTCCAATAGGATGTTCTAAATTATCCATTTCCACAGTAACATTTGCTGGATAGTGATTCGCTCGCACCTTGTATACCTTACCTTGAACAACATCACTGACAAATATGTGTCCTAAGAGACCCATGCATGTTCCAATGGGTGCCTTAAAAACTCCGCTTTTGTTGTCCTCCCTTAGCCTGTACTTCTCAGGTACCACAGTGTGAGTTACAGTTTTAGCATTATCTGTAAGAATCTTTCTCACCAATGGACTCGAGATCTCCATTATAGATTCGACATCTTGACGATCACGATTCCTAACTGCACTAAGTGGTACCAAGGGTGCTAGCTTTGAATGTAAGGCGTGGTCATTACTTAGCTCCCTGAGTTGAACCAAATTTATTCGGTAGTTATTTACTAACAGGAACCAATTTGAGAAACTCTTCCGTTTTCTCTTAGCAACATGTACACCATCAGGAATGGGAGATATGATTGATAAAAACGGGTCAGACTGTTCGTCGTTTACTCTCACAAGCTCTTTTTGTGCACCAGAATTTCTTGATTCAGAATCCTCTGAAACACACACAACTGCTGCTTTAATGCACTGAATTTCTTTTTCCAGACAAGAATCACAAGGTCGCAAAGCAGGTTCGGTAACAGTGTGGCCTTTGTCACTGCAAGCATCACAGACAGTTCCTAATTCAGTGCAGATTGCACAGTGACTGCAACAGGTTTTTTGAACGATAATGCTATCAGTTCTGCTGTGTTGCAAATGGTCAAGGCAAACATTTATTTCTTGTGTTTCATTCTTCATCATATTGAAAGTATCTAACGCTGTAAGTCCTTTGGTTAAATTATTTACACCGACAGGAAGGGAAAACTTTGCATCAAGAGTCGTTAAGCACATGGCTTCTGCTTCTTGCACAATTGAACTTTTCAGGGTAACTTTTTCGGGTTCACCTTGCTTTATGTAGTTGTAATCCAAGTTAAGAGTACTTCCAATGATTTTCCCTTGTCTACTGTCATAGAGCAATCCAGGTTTTAGTTGCATTCCGTCTTTTGCGAGTGCAACAGGTATTATTTTAACTGTACTATCTTCATAGAGTGTTAGTATATCACTATTAGCTTCACTTGACAACTGCAAGAAACTCTGAAGAAGGGGAGCATATATTCCATTCTCTGTCGAATATCCGCTGTACATTTTATCACGTGTTGTCTTTCCAGGTAAAGGCCAGTTCCATTTTTTCCAGTCAAAACCTGAAACGGCACCAGACGGACCTTCTCCATCATGACCAGGTCCCCTCAATAAGTTAACAACCTTTCTTCCACCATGATACTCAAGGCTTTCAAGAAACTGAAGAACTTCATTCTCCCACTGAAATTGAAGACTGTGGTTTTCTTTCCTTTTCGCAAGCCAATCTACATAACTGACAGCGTTTTTCAGTAGAATATAAAACATGCTTTCCTTAGGAAATATACCAGCATTAAGGAAAGACTGCAGTTTCTCAGCAACTGGGTCAACATGCGCAATGTGTATTCGTTTAAATCCACTTTTAATTTCATTTGCTAAATAATTTTTGTTATTTCTAAACTCATCCTTGCCATCATCACTATCAGTTTCATCGAATGACGATGAATAACTATCATCATCAGTCTCAGGTGTAATATCCACTTCCATTTCAAGGATTTCTTGATCATTGTTACGAAGACACAACTCTAGATCTGGCACATCACAAAAGCCATCAGAATATTCTCTGAAATTTACTGTCGTTCCAATTGAAGTGTTGCTCAAATATTGATTCAATACATTACCTCGGGCTGACCAATTCATTTGATCAAGTTCCTCGAGATATTCATACACTTCCTGTGAAAGAGCCAATTCCAAGTATTTGATCATTTCTGGTCACTTCCTTTCTATTTATGATTGGTTAGTTGCACAAACAACAAAGGTGATTGGTGCATTCAAACTATTCAACAGGAAGTTTACAATTATACTAGGAAGTGTATGAATATCTCGAGGAACTTGATCAAATGAATTGGTCAGCCCGAGGTAATGTATTGAATCAATATTTGAGCAACACTTCAATTGGAACGACAGTAAAAGAAAATACATGCCCGCTAACACCTTTATTGTCAATATTTTAACACAACTCTTTAATATATTATATTTCATAACTGATAAATTATTAAACTGTTATACTAACAGTATATGGCCCTATATCTTACATATTATCAAGATCTATAGCTGATCCTGAATTTTCCAAGTCAAAGTCATTTTCATTGTTGCTCAATGGATCACATTCAGAATGAGAAGATTGTTCCTTATCTTTGGCCTGTTTTTCGAAGCAGGCTATAATGGAAGTCTGACCACTCCTGTCATGTCTTGATGTTTTGCTCCTATTTTCACAACAGACTTTCCAGTGCCCTAGAAATTGATGGAGAAAGAGTGTCACCAAGGAAAAGTGTCAAAACTGTAAAGCACATAATACACAAGTGCAATAATTGAAGAAGCTTGATTCTATTGTATCTATTCAGTCTAGTGTATCTAATTTTGGCACACCAATGACATCAATGTATTTACATTAATGTACCAAATAATTACTTGGGAGTATTTTGTCATACCCATATTGTTTTTCTTGCTCTAAGTTAACTGACTTACTTGCTTGAAAGAAGTTGATTGCACGCGGTTTATTAAGCATGATTCTCTTATTACAAACACACTGAATCCATCGTTCGCTTAATGCAAGGACACCAAACTTATTTTGCATTGCTAAAGAAACAAAAATAGATATACAGGTAATATATGCTCACGATAGAAATATTTAATTAATTTTAGATTATGCAATATGCATATTTTTAATACTGGAAACGATTTGTGACGATATTTATGATCAGCCAAAAGATGTCGATTTTTATGTCCAGTACACTTGAGAAATCACTTTAAATGCAGTTCCAAAGATGTATTTTCAAATGCCACTCAACTGACTCAAATGAGTGATGGAATGTATGGCACAGATATTTATTGACCTGTTACGCAAACCATGGAATGTAGTACTACAGTATATATCTTTAAAATGTTAGCTCCAATCTTTTTTATATCAATAATAACATTTTGCATCTATATGAACTTATGTGATTTGAACTGGTCTGCTTATTTACTAACCTGACTTGAATTGATCCCACTTTGCTATTTGCCATTCTTTTCTTTCAACTCCATTGCCATCTGGATTGTGACGCAAACGTTTAAACAATTCCTCATCTTCTTTCCTGTGTGTGGTTTTTGGGCGACCAGCTTTCTTCTTTTTATTCACAGTTGACACAGTTGGCACCGCATTCTGAGATGAACTGTTATTTAAATTACTTGAGTCACTTGAGCAAACCTCTGAACTTGTACGTGCAACTTGCATTAGTACCTCATGCACATGAACTACTTCAACTACAAAGACCTTCACTAAAACGAAAAAAATAACTGGACTATAAGAACAACTTCTTGAAGGGTACGTTGCTCATGTATTGGGTGGTTATAGGTGATTTTGTGAATTGATTCCAAGAAGTTGATAAACCTGACACCTGTTATAAACATTGTTTGTATTACTAAACAAGTTATTGAACTTTTATGCCATATGACATATTGACATATCGTCGTCGTTGAGTCGCACTATAAATGTCACTATTTTTATGTATTAAAACATGTAACTATTAAATATGGCCCACATGTATAAGTTTATATATGAGAGAGTTCATTAGTAACATTAGTAAAAAGTTGCCTACCTATAAGTTCCCTTTCATGCCCAAGTATTTTTGGAAAGCAATTATCGCATTGTTCCTGGCTGTCAATAGAAAAAATCCTGCCTTTAGGCCACTCAGGTAATTTCGGTGTAAAATCTTTTGCTGAAACCTGAAGCTTGAACTTTGCAATATTCAAAGCGGCGCATTTGTCCTTGATTCCATAACCTTTTTCCAAACGCTTCAAAATGGTATAAAGCAATTTGTCTTCCGACAAATTTAACCCAAGCTCAAAGCTCCATCGCTCTGTAGGCTTTTCCAGCCCATTGTGATAAATTGCACCTGTAACTGGCACAAGTGTCATAGATTGTCGAGTTGTATTAACATCCTCGACATCTTCATTACTTTTTGCCGCCATCTTGAATTTTATGACCTTTAATTTTAAAAACCTGACTTTTTAGCCTGCAAACAGGCTATGATTTATACTGATCTATACTATATTACTGGAGCGTCAACTTGTCCTCCAGTAACTGTTGGGGATCTTTGGGGGAACAGCACTGCGAAAAATATGCACGAATAATCGTAATTAGATTTTATGTAGGTCGAAAACAACGTTGACATTGGGAAAATGATGCTCCCTTGTTCCCAACAATCTATGAAAGAGTTCCCTTGTTCCCAGAATATATTTGGACGATATCCCCTGCTCCTTGAAAATAAACGCCCATGTTCCCATGTTCCCTAAAACCCCTGGGAGGGGCTCGATACTGAAGCCATGGTACAGTTTTGGTCTCTATTTAACGAGGTATAGTATAAGATCATTATGTCATTGACAACTAGGTCCAGGCTATTACATTTCACTTATATATTTCAGGTGTTACAGGACGTATCTGGTGACAAGACGTATGTTTTTAATCCTGCTGGATGGGTTTTAGACGAAGCCGGAGCTGAGTGGAATGCTAACAGAATTGTATTCGGAGAGGATGCTATTGCTAAAGTTGTATCGTGCGAATTTCATTACAAACAATCGGTTGGTCGTAAAAGTGGGAAGTTGGATGATAAGCACAAGGCAGAATTTAAAGCTCTCGCGTGGGCGTTAATGGAGGCAAACACGGTGAGCGTTTTTTTGGAAAAAACGAGCGGATTTGAATCGCTTTATGAAAAATAATCCTGCTTACTCCAGTGTACTCAGCTCTTGGGACGAATGTTGGAACAATAGGAAAACGCACATTTTTCGAGCTTTTAAAAACACAATAAAAACGCCGAAAATGAACATGGCAGAATCTGGTCACTCGACTTGGGTTAAATCTGGTGCAATTCATCTCATTTTGGTAGACACAGCGAGACATGATGTTGGAGAGAACGTTCGTCTGGAGAAGACGGTTCAAGGTTACATGGAAGGGAGTCTTCGTTCTTCGGGAAAAGGTACTAGCGTTAAAGGAACGGAAAAAAAGGGACGTGAAAGTCAGATAAAGAGAGCGAGGGAATTCGGTGAAGAAGTGTTAGACGAAGATTTTGAAGGTGATCCGTACTCTGTCAATGATGCTTGTAGTGTAGTAGATCCAAGGGCAACACATAGCCGAACTAAACGGGGGGAAAGTCCAAAAGTTTCCTGTAAAGGGAAGCAAAAGACGTCATCTAAAACGTGGACAAAGCAAGAATTGAAAACCATTAAGAGCGCTAAGTCAGAAGCCAGCGAAATGTCAATAACAAGAACAGTTAAAATAGCCAGTGATCATGCGAAGTTTAGTGTTACGCACGGAAAGAATACTTACGATGTTGACATTTGCCATACTCCTTCCTGTTCCTGTCCAGACAATCGTCCTCGTCCTTACAAGCACATCTTGTGAGTATATTTTTATGTCTTAAATATAAAGGAAGACAATTCATTGTTACGTGAGAAGAGACTTACAAAGGACGTGATGCAAATATATACATGTATTGTCCACATTTCATTTTGCATTTGAAACAAATACAGTACACTACATCAGATAATATCAATGACATGGCTTTCTGTTTGTTTGGTTTCATCCTACAACTCAGCCACCCTGCATGAAACCTCCAAAGTCCAAACCGAAATAGATGGCCTGAGTTTGCATTCCATTCACTCCACGCCAGATATATCCGGCATGAGGTTACAAAATTGCTGGTGTATTGGCGTGAGATCACTAAAAAAGAAGTGATAAGTGTAACTACAGTAAGATTGTGCCTGAATAGATTGACATACAGTATGTATACTCACAGTATAACCTCAAGAATATGTTATTATTAACAGTGTATAAAACATGTCAGGTTAGCCATTTTAACATGGATTTTGGTCCCCAAAGTTAAAATCTCCAATGTATTGGCGTGAACTCGCATATGTTGGCGTATCTCGTTTACACGGAATTCACCCATGCCGGTTGGTCTATTAGAACAAATGTGGCAGCCCAAGCATTTACACTGCACACCATGATCATGTTAATATGCCTCTTAAAACCTACCTAGTCACTCAAAAACTTAAGTAATTGTTTTAGTACGGTAGTAAGCGACTATTTTATATTATATTACTTTGTAATCTGCAGAGTATAGTGCTGTGTTCTGACGTTCGGTCGGTTCTGATATTCCGACGGTCAAAACCAGTGGGTGAAAATATCAAATTATTTACCTGCGATTTAGTTTCTTTCAACATTCAAATGTTCCTCATACTTCTATGATGTGTGCTTGTTTTTGAAATACCAGATTTGACTTGATTTCTGCGCATACTTAGCAAGTATAAGGCAAAAACTCCGGAAAAATATCACTTTTACAATAGAAACTACAGTCTTTCACTCCTCAAGTGTGGCCATTCAAAATGGCGGCCGGTCTCAAAACATGACGTACTCCCGGCTTCAATTTTTGTGTAGGGCTTCTATTCATACTCGTACCCAGAGCCCTTCTTACGCGCGGTGCGACGAGGGGCTCTGGCCAAATCCATAACCGGGTACAAGAATGGCCTTCTATTACGATGCTCTATCCAGTCTTAGGCCCGGTTTAGACGCCGTGCTTTTCATGAGCCGAACTTAATTCATATTTTACTCGAGTAAAATAGGCGTACATCCAATTTTGATTTAGATAGGCGTTCTTTTCATGAGCCGTACTTAATAATTTGAACTGCTTCACTTCGAAACCTGGGGCGGGTGACATTTCATAATAAGAAAAAAGGGTTTTTCACATACAATCTTGGCATTTCTGAGCGTCTACAGGTTTGTGGTTATTAAAAATTTCAATTGCTTTTTGAAAAACCTTCTACTACAAACATAGCATGATGCCTGGATAAAAGATGTTGGAAAACGAGACCTATAGGCTTAGGGCGAGTTTTTCCACGTTATTCGAGTTCTCCCAAACTACTACAAGTGTTTTCTATAACTGTATGGGTCACACATAATAAATATTTTATATTTATTTCATAATATAACTAAAAAAAGATTTGTAGTAGACTCGATATATTTACAAGTTCTCATTGCGTAATAATGCCGACCTTTGCTCCATCAATTTACTGCAAGAAACCATTTTTGCCTTTATCAGCAAATAACGCTATAAGCATAATTTTGCAACTTTTATGCAAACAGTCTAACCATAGTTAATAGAGGAGAGGGTTTGGAAGCTGGGGGCGTGGCCAAATTATGTTATTGTTCTCTGTCACGTGACAATACGGGTGCATCAAAATCTATTTGTAATAGGAGATTGTATTACAGAAGAGGCTGTAGTACTTGAAAAACGTCTTTTACAGAAAGGATATCCAAATACCAGGTGCAAATTGCTCCATACATGGTTGCGGGACTAGTAGAAAACACTTTGATCTCAGTATTTTTTGAAATCCAACAAAAGACGACGATTTATCGACGAAAATTCGCGAAGCGTTGGCGAGGTTTGTCACAAAGGACGCAGGATCGAGAGATAGATGCGAGTTTAAGAAATCAAATCGCTCAACAAACACTTCACGTTTGTGAAAGACACTTTGAAAAGACCCAGCCGAAACATGTAAGTTATTTTCTTTCTCTGGTAGAGGTATTGATATTTCGGTATGAACGCTTGAAAGTTACAACTTAGCAGAAGTACTGTATATATTTCATGTATCAAATGATCAAATTTGTATGAACCAAATGGTCATAGAGCAGGAAAAATATATTAAATATTAATGATTTGCATAAAAGTGCGTTTCGGTCATTAGGTCATTTATATAACAGTTAATCCTTGTGTTCATAAAATGAAGATATGCATATTATTCAGGACACTGTCACTGAGGACAGTAGAAACATTTTCGTATACAGTAAACAAAGTATTATACAATATTCAAAGGCTATTTTAATAGCAAGAAACTGGCATAATAAAGTAACAGGATTTTTGTTTGGCCATGTCATAGTATATGAAAGCCCCATTTACAGTTATTATAAATCTTGTTTGCTGTGAATTTTATTATAATTACTATCTTAACAATTCTTGTATAAATTAAGTCAACTTACTGTATATATAATCAGATATTTTATGTTCTGCTTTAGTTCCCACCTGCAAAAGGCTTGTAGCTGGTGCTATTCCTACTTTTAATTTACCCCAGAAAAGCATACCTCTCTACATCGACAACTGGAGCCAGGTAACATTACTGGTTGTCACACTGGTCAGAGGAGTAAATGGTATGGTGGATTAGAAAAGGCCTTGCCGTAACATAAAACAGAAGTAATCTAGTGAGAACTTTTGTGGGGTTTTTGTACCCAGAGCTGTCATTAAGGGCCTGTAGCTTGCCTACTTCTGTCTGAACAAAGTTCATATAAACAAAACTGTGAAGCAATAAACAAACCTTTTACTTCCTCTAGTCAGAACATCAAAATTATAAAACAAAAGATTAAATGATTTCAAACAGGTCAGACTTTGATAGGATGTTTTGTAATCTTAAGAACTCTGTAAAATACCTTCCAAAATGCAGGGAATGTGTAAAATACCTTCCTAAATGCAGGGAATGGCATTTCCAATTGTTTAGATTTCAGGATTAGGGGCATGCACCCAGACCCCTCTAGGAGTCTTGTGCCTTCAATGTTCAATCATTTTTCGGCCACCTACTTGTAAACTTAATGACAGCACTGCTTCAAAAGAGTAATATGCAATAATTTGTACATATGTTATAAAATAATTATTAAAACAGACTATAAATGAATAGGTGAACAATAAGACTAGAACAATATATTACCTTAGTTGAATAATTTGTAAAAAATTATACTAATATATACAGTAAATCACTATTACACAAAATTTTGTTTCACTTCAAATAGACAAGACATTGGTAGGCTCAACTTTAGTTTTCATGGTTTGAGAGACAACAACGGTTAGAATCAGAGCACACTGACGTAGTGAATAAGTACACTATTCACATCTGAAATTGGCTGTCAACCAGGGGCATAGGAACCAGGGGGCCAAGGCCCCCAAGTTTTCAGAAGATGCAAAAAGTGCCCTTTGAGTGTGGGGCAGTTAAACAATGAAATGACCAGCCTGCTTGGCCTGCACTCTTTGGCTGAGAATCGGGCCTTTCAGAACCAGAAATCGGGCTGGAGCACGACAAATGGCAAAATTTGAAACTTAACAGCCATACAGTTTACCAATATTCTCAAAACACAAGGACATACTGGCATTCTTTTGATACTGCAATGCTATTAGATTGCTCAATAATGTCATTCCACAAACTTTTTGCTAATGGAGCTTGGACATTCTTAATAACTTTATCAACGTGTAAAGAAGTAGGTTTGCATTAATTCTTGTGTGCTTTCTAAAGCACGATTCGGCAATTCTAGCAATATCATTAAGTAATGAATTTGGTACCCACAGGGCTGACGGGCCCCTCCCCAGCAACATAAGCTGGGTGGTCCAAACTCTTCTGATTTCACTGATAATTACTAGCAGAATACAAACATTAAAAAAATATTTCTGGGTATATAATCCTTTGCACATAGGTAAAATCTTCTTGCATCCAACATTTGGTCTACAAAGCATTTGGAGAGGAATAAGAACTAAGTTAATACC